GAGAATCTCTCTGAATTTGTCAATTTCTCCCAGGCAGAGTTTTCTGGGATTATTAACGCCTAAGGGAATTTGTTCTATTCTTCCAGAGGATGTATTTGGGGCAATTCTTCCATTCTGTTTCTACTTTCAGCAGTGGATATTGAGGGTTGCTAGTTGGAAGGTGCAATATAATAATTCATTTCTATCTCTATGCTCTTCCTTTGTTTCTCGCATCACACCATGTCCAGAAATGCATGGAAGCTGCGACTGATTATCCCAAGGGGAGGCAAGATTTATTCAGACCTTCTCAAGAGCTGCTTTTCTGGGAGAACTTCCAGGGAGATCAAAGTCAAGGCGCTACGCAAGGTAAGAAAAGCTCTTTCTGTGTAATGTGAGATTTCAACATTTAGCTGGTCCTTTCGCTCCACTTTATTGAATTGGCCCTCTTTAACACACCTGCTTCCATTATTTTTCTCTTTCTGATAGAAACTAGAAAACCGACCTTGGATTTTTTAGAATCACCTCTTTGTGCTGGAGCTGAATCGCTATTTCAGGTGAGGAGAAACATCGGAAAAGGTCCCTGAATCTTGGATGGATTTCATTTTGTTCTAGAGTTCAATGTATAAGATTGCTGTTTCTAAGCAATACTAATTTGATATCGGGTCACTGAACATTCTCCCTTCTGAGGGGATCCTCTGTGAGTTGCTTTTTCCACCCATCCTGCTACTACATCAGATTTCATTGACCAGACTTTTGTCAGCATCAGGGCTCCTCCTTCTCTTTCCCAGGGTTATTCTCACACACCATTGCAAAAAACAAAACAAAACTCATTTTTTTGCGTTTTGAAATGCATATTTGGGACAACCATGACCTGATGATTGAGAATCTCTATAGACATACAGAGTTCTGTTACGAGCTCTTGCAATTCCTTCATGAAGGTGTGGAGTTCAGGCACTTTGGTTCCTCTTGATAAAATAAGCCATTGGAAAAAATGTCAGGTGGGTTTTGCCAGTATTTTGCTCTGCCCATCCTAGGAAGAATGGGAGTCACTGACAAGTAGTGGATTTAAGACCCAGCTACCAATTGACCAAGAATATTTTAGCTGGTTACATTGTAAGGCATTCCAAACACTTCCAGCTTGATCAAACATGATTTAGTTGTGCCATCAGCCAAAACTGGTGATATTCTATTCTGAATTCTACAGAGGATGCCCATTTTGTTCACATGATCTCTGTCCTAGAATTGGTGGAAGAAAATTAACCCATTATTTTTGGGATTATCTGTTAATAGGGAAACTTGTTTTCTTGTTCAGGATGTTTGTTTAGAGGAAGTGACCGTGTATTTCTCCGAGGAGGAGTGGGCTCAACTGGATGCTGACCAAAAAGAGCTCTATAGAGAAGTCATGGTGGAGAATTCCAATAATTTCTTTTCTCTGGGTAAGAAACCCTTTCTATGATCAGGAACATAGAGTAGGGGCTTGAATGTTATTTCTGGGGAAAAAAATCATTTACAGTGCATTCAGAAAGTATTCAGATCCCCTTCACTTTTTCATTTTTGTTATGCTGCAGCATGATTCTACAGTTGTTGAAATGAGTATTTTATATTTTATGAGGAGAACCCATTCTTTTAAAGAAAACAATGTATATAATAAGGGAGGCTATGCAGATTTCCAATTTTTATTTGAATACATTTCCTTATTCCATAAAGTCAGTTTGATCAAATGGTTTAAGATACCAGGCTAGAAACTGGGTGACTGTAAATAATAGTCCTGCCTTAGGCATGAATGCTGGCTGGGTGAATTTGGGCCAAAATACTCTCAGCTCAACCCATTTCACTGGGTTGTTGTGGTACAGAAAACAGCAGGAAGAAGGAATATCGGGTTTTTCAACTATCTTTATTATTTACAAAACAATGAAGGATAGAGAGAGTATTCAGAAGGTATTTGGACTTACTGTTTTCAATTTTGTTATGCTGTAGCCTGATTCTACATTTGTTGAAATTTATTTTTTCTCATTAATCTACACTGGGTACCCAATAATGACAAAGTGAAAACAGAATTTTAGAAATGTGTGTAAATCTATTACTTTCTAGCCTGATGTCTTAACCTTTTGACCAAACTGACTGTATGGAAGAAGGAAATTTATTGAAAGAAAAATTGGAAAACCAATTTTAACCTGGCTTTTTACATAAAAGAAATGTTTTTTTTAAAGTGTTCTGCCCATGAAATACAAAATACTCATTTCATCGAAGATATTAGGAAGACTGTGAGGAAGAGGCTGAATGTACTGAGGAAGGTTCTGGCTACTAGGATTTGCTATTCCCTCCTGAACCTGGTCACTGGGTTCCTGATGGCCCTGAGCTGCTATCACTAAGACCAGATGACCTCTGAGGGGTTTGTTCCCTTCTTAGACATACGCCCACCTGTGTACAGAATTTGGCATCAGCCTAAGTTGAGGGTGGGGAGCTTTTCCATCTAGAAATTCCCTTTGATTCTGCTCTGCAGACAAGTGGAGGTGAGAGTTTTATTGAAGTTGGGAGCTGGTGAGTATGTTGCTGCCCCAGCATGATATGGTGTCCAATACGCTTCGGGATTTTGAGGCCCCATGGAATTACCCAGTGGTGGGATTCAAATAATTTAACAACTGTTTCTCTGCGCTAACGACTGGCTGGGTGAGCGTAGTGGGTGGGTCATGTGACTGGAAGGGTGTGGCCAAACTGAGCGTGGTTCGGGTGGCAGCGCGTCGCCAGGTCGACATTGTGTTGGGGGGAGGCACTTATAGTGGTCCAGGCAGGACTGAATCCATTGTCTCCAGCACAGGAAGATGAGACCAGGGTGAGAGCTTGTCCTCCAGAGGAGCCTCGCTGTCCCTCTCAGGTCATGCAAAGGAGCCCTGGACAGCAGCGCAGGCTGCCCAGTGCCCTGGGCAGCAGAGGACAAGAGTCCAGCGTGGCCCTCAAGCTCCCAGGGCACTGGGACCCCACCGCCCTGCCCCGCTTCCCCGAGGGTGCAACCGGCTGTACTTACCTCCTCCTCAAGGCTGCTGCTGCTGTGCTCGCTCTCCTTTGGCACTTTGCTCAGGGTGTAATCAGAAGGGTAAAGTGTGTTGGTCCCGCTGTCTCTGCATGTGAGATGACCCGGCTTTGTAACCAAAGCATCCTCAGCAATAGGATGGGAAACCACAAGGAGAGGTCAGGAGAAGGGGACAAGGGGATGGTGAAAGGGCAGCAGGATTTCCCTCAGAATCTGACCCCCTTTCATTATAATCTACCTTCCTTCCTTCCCCCATCGTTGCTTCATTGTGGTTTTTAGCTCACATGTGTGTTTGTGTGTGGGTGTTTGTGTTTGTGTGTGGGTGTGTGTGCAAGCCCCTTGCTGCCGGACATTGAGAGGAAAAGATCAGGAAAGTCTGGGCTGAGGGGGTTGAGAAAAACAAAACATTTTTTTAAAAAAGAGCTTTTGTTAGCTTGCAGCCTGCAATGAGCTTGCAGGCTGCAATGAGGGAGACGCCTCCCCCTGTTTCCCCCCGCGCACACACACACACACACACACACACACAAAATCTGTGATGGTGGGCTGAAAAGTGCAAAGCTCTTTTTTTTTGCAATGTTTGTTTTTCTCAGCCCACAGCTGCATCTCCCAATGTTTTCCTCTCCATTGTCACAGCTCCGGGCAGCGAGCACACGAGCGCGCGCACGCACACACACGCACGGGTTGGAGAGGTGAGCTGAGAGTCACACAGAGGTCCGTCAGGCACAGAGGCAACAACAGGGGAAAGGGGATAAAAATGGGAAGCCCCTGTCCATTAAATAAAGAAAAAGAAAAAAGAAATCAAAATCTGCAGAGCTTCCCGTCTTGTCCACCCTCCCCTCCGTTGCCTCCACGTCTGATGCCAAAAGGGCAGTTCTGCTTCCACCCCCTCCCCCTCCCCGCAATGCCAGAAGCCGCATGCGACTGCCGTGCGGCTTCCAGATTCCCCGCCCCCACACAGCCCATGTGATCTACTGCCCATGGTGCGCTGGCCTATAGAAGCCCCCTGGGTCCCATGCCCTCTTCTTCCTACCTCTTCCTTCCTCCATGCACGGGTAAGGACACGGTTTTCCCTCATGGGGGGTGGGGCGGTCCTAGGGAAAGGCCAGCAAGCGGGGCATGGAGGTGCCAGTGCCACCCGCGGCCAGCCTTAGATCCATGCTGCCGTCTTGGCCTCACCCCCTGGGTGTGCACACAGGAGCCTCCAAGCGCACGAGGACTGGGCTGGCATCCTAGGTGAAGGGCAGCATTCGGTAAGCAGTGCCCAGGGACGCCAGGCCCTGTGTGCTCACGAGCTCCTGGGCAGACGCCCAGGGAGCGGACCCAAGGCATTGCTGCAGATCTAAGGCTGGGCCCTGGGTGAGAAGAGAGTAGCCAGACAGAAGCTGGGCCCTGGGTGTGGCCAAGGTGAGATAAACAGAGGCTGGGAGGGGCCGGCCGGTGTGGGGCAAGGCCACCCAGTGGTGCAATCTGTTGGTTCGCCGAACTGCGCAGAAAATTAACAGGTATACCTGAACTGGTCCGAACTGGCTGAATCCCACCACTGCAATCATCCCAGGTCAAAAGATTAGTTCAGGGTTGTGATCCAATCCTAGGATCATTAGGGATACACTTGGAAATAGGTCTTTGCTATCATCTTAGTTTGGACTTGTCATCTTTGCCAACAAAACCGTTGACATATACTGATGATTCTTTGGCTAAATTTCAGGAGAAAAGTTTGTTTGTTCCTCTATTCTTGTTACAGTTTTCATTTTTCTTTTTCAAGGTTTTAATGGTCAAGAAAAAAAGAATTGCAAGGAGGAACGCCAAGTGATTCATTCGAAAGCGGGGGAAAGGAAATTTGTAGATCAGATGCAACTAAAGAGTGATGAAACAAAGCAATCCCAAAGTCTTCCTTGGGTCAGTTGGCTTTCTAACCATACAGTGATTGATATGGGAGAAAGACCATATAAATCCATGGAGTGTGGAAAGTGGTTTAATAAATCTGACCATTTCATTTCTCATAAAAAGACACATTCAGAAGAGAAACGATTTACCTGCATGGAGTGTGGAAAGTCTTTCTGTGATAATTACTATCTTATAAGACATCAAAGGATCCACACAGGAGAACGACCTTATAAATGCATG